GTGACCTATTTCTATCTGTTATTTTCCGCTTTGTGCTTCTTGTCGCCTGTTTCCTAATCTTTTGAACAATATCAGCTCCTTTTCTTGAACAGCTTATCCAATTTCAACCAATTTTGGCAGGGTAAAGGGGAGCAAACCTTTTGGATTTCAAAATCTCTTACCCACAGGGGATTGACAGCCTAATGTACTCAACAATCTATATTAACATCCCTTAAACATTGCACAACAACACAAAGAAACACATTAACACCCACAAGGAATCTGGTTGATAATGACCAATAAGCCATATATGTGCAAAATATTTTTCCTTTGTTTTATCTGGATTATCAAAAAATTATGATATACAATTAAAAATTTCTAACATAATAGGAATATTTTTTTAATGCTCAAAGACTTGATGTACCTGGAGTATATGGGTTTTTACTCTGAATAACAAAGATCGCTTATGACGTAGTAACTGATACCTTATTTGGAATATTTTCCATGCTGGATACACACAGATCAAGGTATTTTGTGCAGTGATTGATTCTGGCCAGTTCTGAAATACCTACTTTGTAAATTCTATCATTCTATATATTCTGACAAATAAACTATAGTAAATATATTTGGTGAGACAAGGAAAAATTTGACAAATTTCACCTAAAAAATTAATATCTTGTCATATCTGAATTTTTACATCATAGACAGATCACCCACATATGATTTATTTACTCAGAATACATAAATGCTTATTTAATATTAATGTAGTCCGATCCTCAGCTTCATAGAATCAACAGTTAACTTAAGTAATGAAAATACTCATAAAAATATCCCTGAATCCACAAAGTAAAGAAAATTTACTCACATTCTTTCTAAAGTAAAACATTAAAGTTAATGTTGTTATTAAGGTAAAACTGTTAAATGGCTAATATTTATGCAGAATAATTGAATAGGAATATAAGTTATGCTCCCCTTTACCTATAGATGCTTTGTACCCTGCCAAAATTGGTTGAAATTGGATAAGCTGTTCAAGAAAAGGAGCTGATTAGGAAACAGACGGACAGGAAGCACAACGTCGGACAATAACAGATAGAAATAGGTCACCTGTGTGACTCAGATGACTAAAAAATGCATATAAACCATATATAGATTCATTAAAATTAAATTAAGATGTCCTTGTGGTTTCATTGTGGTTCCTTGTGGTTTCGTTGTGGTTCATTGTGGTTTTCTTGTGGTTCATTGTGGTTCCTTGTGGTTAAAAGACATACCCCTGATCCACACAATTTTCCTGAATCTCCAAAAAATGATCCACACAATTTTCATGGTTCAACAGTATTACATGTTCATGTATTGCTTAATAAAAATATCATGAAAACAAGACAGCAGGATCTGTCAAGAATTTGGGTATGAAAATATGAAAAAAAACAAGAGGCCCACGGGCCTTATAGGTCACCTGAGTATCATGTAACAACTTTCCAGCGATTGTATTTGGTTCGTGTTTTAATCCAAAAGCCATGAAATTCACAAATTTTGAAAGAGGCACCATTGCTTATCAAAGGGCAGATTTCAAAGCATTTATTTTTAGTCAAAGTACCCGCCCTGGTACCCTTGACCCAGCAGCCCTGAAATTATCTATTTTGAAAGAGGCCCCTTTCTTCATTATAAGGCCAGCATTTTTTTTTATGTTTAAATAGGTTTAGTTATGAACATGAGAATAAAAATGTCCTAAAGGAGAAGGAAATAAAATTTTTTTTTTGACATTTGTACATTCTTTTTTATGCTATCCTAATAGGCTCCCTACCACTGGACACATAAGGCTTACAAATAGGAAAGTAGAACATTTAATTGCTTATTTCATCATCTGCCAGTTTGGGCCAGTTATATAAATTTTGTGATGTTGATCAAAATATATTTTAAAAAATCTATTCTTTAAAAGTCTTTCAATATATCTTCATTTTTTAATATGTGTTAGGTGAATGTGTAAACATTGTTCTAAAATTTACTTGATGCCTAAAATTATAATTCCTATCATAAAACAGACAGGGGAGTATTGGGGAGTAGGGTCAACATTTTTTCAATTTTAGTGTAAAATAATTTTTCTGGTTGATACAAATGATACTACATGCCTGTATATATTTGTATATTCTTGCCTTTTAATAGTTGAATTTTTTTTATTTCTTCAGGTTATTGTTTATTTCTTCCTCAAATGGACTTCATTTCTCCCATAGTTTTATTCATTACATCTGATGCATAAGCAACTCTTCTCTGAAGAATAATGCTTAGACTGTAAGCTATAATAGAGACCTAAACAATGACCCTGGCAATATGCAATAGTTACCACGGGCAGTTTAAAACCTGGGGGAGGAAAATAATTTACAGTTACTTTTGATACGAATACAGAATTATCTCACCAGCATGTCATTGTGCAACAAAGTCGTCAGCATTTTATTTGTCCTTTGAACGGGTGAAACGTTTTAAATGGCACTCTTATCGATGAATTTTATACTAGACATATCTTCTCATACCCGCCGTTTGTAAACCGGAAGTGCGAGTTCGTAAATTTGAAATCTCGATCCCGACTCAAATTTGACATCGGAAAGAAATAAAAATTTATTTTTTTCTGAAAATTCAAAACCTTGAGCGGAGGGTTTGTAAAACTGTAAATAAAATAAATCCTGGCCTTAAATATGTAATTAGATCATTAGCATATTGACCAGGAGCAAAGGATAAGATGTTCAAAGAATTCATGCATTTCACTGTATAATCATTTATTTAGAGCCCCACCCTAAAACAAGAACCCCTGACCCTGGGGCCATAAATTTCACAATTTTGGTAGAGGCACTCTTGCTTATCATAACTATGTACTTAGTTAGTTTATTTAATACCCAAGAGCAGAGAAGAAGATTTTCAAAGAATTCATGTATTTTCACTATATAATCAATAGAGCCCCACCCTAACACCAGAACCCCTGACCCTGGGGCCATAAAATTCACAATTTTGGTAGAGGCACTCTTGCTCATCATGACTATGTACTTAGTTGGTTTATTTAATACCCAGGAGCAGAGAAGAAGATTTTCAAAGAAATAATGCATTTTCACTACCTACTTATTTAGCCCCGCCCTAGCACTAGAACCCCTGACCCCAGGGCCATGAATTTCACAATTTTGGTAGAGGACTTATTGCTGATTACAATCATGCAAACAGTTCGACTGCTTGATGTCCAGGAGTAAAGAAGAAGATTTTTAAAGATTACATTAATTTTAGTGGTTTTGGCCCCACCCCTCAGGCCCCAGGGGGGCAGGGATCATGAAATTCACAATTTTTGTTCCCCTTCACCCATAGATGCTTTGTGCTAAATTTGGTTGACATTGGTTCAGTGGTTGCAGAGAAGAAGCTGAAAATGTTCAAATGTTAACACACGACGAACGACGCACGACGCACGACGACGGACGAAAACAGATAGCAATAGGTCACCTGAGTTAACTCAGGTGACCTAAAAAAAGAACATGGAGAAGATGATCTTACCATTACACAGCCTTAGATAACATAAACTTTATAAAATTTCCATTTTTAACCATTTACCTTCAAGATTTCAGTTGCACATAAATCCTTTTTTAATGTTTAAAACTCTTATGAAATAAAAAAAAAATTATTTTAACACATATTTTAAGCATCTGCCAATGAAATCAGAACATAGGAAATATATTTGGTGGAATGTATTTTAAAGCCTTAGATACAAGTATACAGTGAAACATTCAAATAGGAAATATGTTTATAATGAATTGATTGCTTACAGTGAACTCCATCCCTAGGGAGTACTTCATTATAAGTGTGTTTTACTGTAATGCATTATGACTGAGATCAATACAGGATCTGATAATACTGGATAACAATTAATAGATACGTAATCATAAATAGTAAAAGTTCTACCATATAATACCTATTGACTGCCCCTGACCCTATACGCACCCCACAGGTCTTTTTCAATTGTCAAAAATAAAGGCCCCCTGTACAATGATTAATTCAAAATCATCTAGAATGCTATTGAAAGGATGCCAAATTTGAAAAATGTAAAAAGGACACTTGGTTTTTGAGTATCTTGTATGTAATGTATTCCTGAAGTGAGAGATATTTAGAACAAAATAATCACTATGTATTTCTTAAACATGTGAAAGTGAAAGTCACCTATGAAATTTGTTCTCCGTGTATTTTTAGTTTCTCAGTGGAAAAATAAATCGCAAAGCATAATTCTGATGGATTGTCTTAACTAAAAGAAAAGTTTGGTGTTTTAGTGGTTCTCTGAATTATGTTCCTTTTTTCAAAAGATTTTTTAAAGTCAACAAATGACATAAAAAATTTTAGAATACAAAAGCATCTGCCCCCTTCTTGCAATTTTCTAGGTGCCTGGGGCAGTGAATAGGGATAATATGGTATGTCATTTTTTTTTTATTAATACAATCACTAACACTGGTATAAACCTGGAATGAATTAACTGTAAAACAGCAAAGATAATAGGACTTTATGTAATTTATACATGTTGTACATGTATGTTCTTCTTCAGTTTTCTCTTTCATATATCCATAGGTTTTACAAAGACAAAATCATTAACAAATAACATGTAAATAAATAAATAGATAACCATAAATATACTTTCCACGTACATGTAGTTAATACCAAAAAGCCTTTAAAAAATATACAGAAACATAAATAGTGGATAAACAATTAAACATATCTTAGGCCGCATATATTTAATTTCTTGTTCGTCGGACATTTGAGGAAAATAAATACGAGCGGGCTAGCGGTTAAATAATATTATTACTTTCTTGTAGACAATTTTTTAGGCATAGCGTGAAAAAATTTGAACGGACAATTATTTTTTTCTGATTTTCAGATTAAAAATACCATATATAGAGCGGAAATTGAACAGAAAATGGCACAGAATTCTATTGGTGCGGAAAATTTAAATTAATATTATTTGTAAAGTTTTGTTTAAATACGAGCGCGTGGGTCCGACGAACAAGAAATTTTATTGGTGTGGCCTTAGTGTTAAAATCAGCAGAAATCATTCCATTCCAATCCAATTCAAGGGATAATAATCGGTCTTGTTATACTGCTTTAACAACCAACTGCCATTGGATGGGAAATTCTTATAATACACTACTTCTCCTCCGGTGAGGTAGGCCCCCCACCAACCAAAACTTCCCGTGGACACGATACTATGGTTACAATGAGCGAGTAGAGCCATATCTCCACCTGCACTACCTGTCGTTACGAATTTAATATCATCACCTTTCATATTGCTTCTGCACCAAGCCATTTCAGCACTTACAACAAGAAATATCAAGTTTTTAAATTTACTCCGAAAATATTGGAATGCTTTGTTGAAATACTCCTTTGTGGCGACATTGTAGCCTCTGGAGAGTTCTCGTTTGCTTCCCATGTCACCGCGACGTACATGTACACCCACTGTAATTTTATCACCAATTTTCAGCGAAGCCTGCAGTTGCCGAACTTTGTCCACAAATCCCTTTTTAAACTTGAAGGATTTCTTCACTTCATCTTTCATGAAATCAAAATATTTCCAGCTTTGATAAAATCCACCTAATGAATAGTTTTTGTCATGTCTTAAATTTTCTAGCGATTTGTCATATACCCCCGCTCCCCTTTCTCCAACACCTTTCAAGTTCGAAGGTTCTGAATCAGTCACCTGTGAAATATCAAAAACCTGCAATAATGTATTTCTACGTAAAATCATTGGTTTATAATTATGACGTTTGGCAGTTCCTAAAAGTGATGCGAATTCAAACATACGATTTCCTAATCGCCCAACACCTGTACTTATCATGATGTGTGAATTTCGGAAGGCCTCAGTATTCTCCATATTATTGATGATCAAAGATTGCTTTTGAGTGTGTGTGTGTTCTGTTGTAAAATTTGTATCACCTGGTGGTTCAAATCTATAATTTTCACTTACATCTTCACCGTTCTGTCTTTCTTTGAAATCAAACATCCTTGAAGAAGTAAAATAATTGAAGCCAACCATATATACTATAATGGTGATAGCACAAACTGGAAAGAGAAATGTCCAAATCTTCTTCCATATTGGAGTAAGAGACCAGCAGTGTCTAATCCTTTTGCTCATTGCCTTAAAATCCAATGAATTGTAAGAAATTCAATCAGTCCATTTCAATATGTAAATAAGCTTGAGTTTCCATGATGAGCCACATGCTTTGAAGATCAGGAATGAAATGATATTCCTATGAAACTATGCATCCAAATCCTGAGGAGGTTGCTATTATTCCATTTTTTAAAGACAACTGCACTTTTTAAAACTCCACTTCATAAAGGATGATCTTAGGAAGTTCTACATAAAAATCTGGAAAGATTTAATGTTATTCTATCTTATTGGTAGTTGCTTTTCATGAGTCCATTTTTTCAAGATTTCTGAAAAAGGAAAAATAATTTTACATTTAGCTTAATAAAAAATGCTCACCGGCCTTAGTATGTCACCTGAGGTATTAGATAACATTTCTTACAAGCAGTAAAACAATTTGGTTCGTGTTTTAAACCAGAATGTAGCCATGAACATGATGAAATTCACAATTAACAAGTTTGAAAGCGGACATACATTGTTTAAATAACAGATAATTTATATGGCATGCTTATTCTATTTTTGGACTTAATTTATGCCTTGCAGAGGTTGATCAGAGTGCTAAGAGAAAATGCACTTCCACTTTATATACCCAGTTTACCTCACCCCAAAGGAACCATTGACCCAATGTTTGCACTGCTTCAAAATTGTTGCAATGGATTTTATTAGAATACTGTTCATCATCTCAATATATTTAACCTAAGAGCAGATTTCAAAGCATTAATTTATTTAATTTACTATGTAAGCTTTATGCTAACTGTTGAAGCAGACTTCATCATGTTATCATTATGTTTTATCCTATTATGCATTTCTTAAATAAGAAATCCTATACAATAATACAACTGTATGCCCTTTCAGGATTATGCTCAATCCTCCATGGCACTAAATTCTAAATACATTTGAGATGAATTTTGAGGTACAATGTAAACAAATGCTCGGTTCTGAAATTGTCTTGTTTAATGGATTTTGATTACATACTTTGTCTTGATTAAATCCAGATATATTTCTACCTGCATGTACATGTAGTGCATCCTACATGTTAGCTGGAGATTATAGTCAATTGTAATACATATAGTAATTTCACAGACCGGAGAGCTACAGTGCGACCCCAGCTGATCAAAAACTATTGCGCACAATATTTAATGCATCTTGTTTTATTGTTGATTTAGCATATACATATTTGAAAAGTTCGTTATTGATTTAAGTCAAATGCATTCCTAACATACAGGTATTAGATTCCCTCGGATCCACCAAAAAACATCCCTATAATGTTTGCATTTTAGCCCTCCAATACCCTTGATATTGAAATGATCGAAAATTGAGTCTTTTATACTGCCATTTTGGTTTGCAAGAAATCAAACACGCATACAGCAGATGTCAACTACGTAACTTTTGTTAGAGGAGTAAGCCATTCTTGAAATTAAACTCTCTCACAATGAGGTAAGTATTTGATTTCTCCCATAATCAAGCGCACTTTTTTGTGTGAAATTAAATATAAAGTATTTTCAAATGATCTAAGCAAGTAGCTGATACAAAATGTGTTTTAATATATATTTTAACCATCAGAAATCCACAGTTCTGCAGCTACCTACATGTATATATGTAGTGCATGTATATTTATCATACTTATATAAATTTTATTAAAATGGACAATAATTTGTAAGTAAAGGTATTATAAGTGGCATTTTCCACAAAATTCAAATCAAAGTGACAAAGGGCTTATTTATGAATAGATACCTATTTTATATTTAAATTAAGAAATCGTTATAAATACAATGCAGCAGCACAGACATGCAAACAATTCCTTACCCTGTAATTGCACTTAGGTTCTAAAACTGAGCCATCCATTTATGCAATAATACAGTATTATAAATGTAATTTCTATTATGATAAGGCTGTCCGAAGGCTTAAAATGCCTTTAATTATATATTTAATTTGAACTAGATTTAATTTCAATATGTAATCTTTGTTTGAAATTGATGTTGACGCTCTGAGATAATATTCAATCAGGTATTAAGTAAACTGTAATAATCACATGACTGTGTTTCATCACGTGACGGACATTTATGAATTCTTAAATGTTGCACAAAAATCGCTTCGGCACAAGTGCAAAAAATATTATTGTGCAAAGTTTGTTCTAGTAGTGATCTCTGGTAATAAATGCGTTATCTAAAAGTTCTTATATAAAGAAATTCAACTGTTACCAATGTACACATTAAGAAGGGGTATTTTCCACTCTTTATAGCGATTTATACAAAAATGGAAAACAAAAAGTCTTTGCTATAATTCATTTTAATCTATAACAGCATCTTAAAAAATGGATTATAATTATCTTGATGTTATCCTTGTCTTTTTTATACCAAGTGTTATACACTTCATATAATTCTAGCTCTCTCTACGGACGTGTAAAGGTAGCGTTTCACATGGAATTTTTCGCTATTGTTTGAATATGTGCATTTTGGACATCCCAATACGAAAAATCGTTGACTATATAAGAGAAATATCGTAATATTATTCTTATATTACTGAAAACGTATCCGATTGAATTAAACAACTCGTAATATAGCATGTTGTGTAAGAAATTATGACGACTTTCCTCGTTACGTAAGAAAATTAAGCATGTAAGAAACTGAATGTTGATAAGGAATTATGACGTCAGAAATACATTATGCCCCAATGGTACTTCAGTTTGAAAAGTTTGATATTTTACGGGCAGCCTTATCCTAGCCGCGTTGTCAAAACTAAGGCAAAGATACATTATCTTCTAATCAGGGGGAAAAGTACTCTTAATTGAACCAGGTATCATGCTTTGCTGCTTTGCAGAGATTAATCATGTTTGTGAAAGACAGGCTCTGATTTACTTATCAAATCATATCAAACATATAGTCAATTTCCATGATGCTATTGCAGGATCCTGGGTTCTCCCTAAGCAGAATATGACTATTGCTCTATATTATCTTACAATCAGGGAAAAAAGTACTCTTAATTGAACCAGGTATCATGCTTTGCTGCTTTGCAGAGATTAATCATGTTTGTGAAAGACAGGCTCTGATTTACTTATCAAATCATATCAAACATATAGTCAATTTCCATGATGCTATTGCAGGATCCTGGGTTCTCCCTAAGCAGAATATGACTATTGCTCTGTCAGAATAAACTTCATGACAGAGAGAGAATGTATAAGGACTACTCACTATAACTACATGTATAAACCTTTGCACTGTTTAGAATTGAAATAGAATTAGACATTTAAAAAGTAGAAGGGGGTTTGACTAAGGTTCATCCCCTAATAGGGAGTTAATATAGAGGACTACCAAATTAACGGTGTGGGGGTGGGGGTGGGGTTGGGGGGGGGGTTACATCATTATAGCTGGGGATGTTATAAGACCTTCCTTGGGTCTTAAGGACAACCCCGTTATTGTATCGGACTTTTTTTATAAACTTAAAAAGGACATTATATGTGTTAACCTCATCTTAGATATCAGTTAAAATTTCATAAGATTGTAAATATAAAAAATGAGACTGTATATTAAATTCAGCTGTACTGAAATCACTTTAGAAACATTTCATATACATGATCCATGCAAAGCATGCTAATAGAATATTACAGAAATGAGCATATACCTAAATCACGTAAATCAATGTAAATATATTAAGGTAATTAAATAGGCATTTGGTATCCTATCTGAATGAACATTACATATGAATAAACAAACAAGTAAGTAAAAAAAGTTATACTAACCTAGTGAAATAAATCAGAAAAATATGACATTTTCATGTTCCAAATTCAAATGAAATCTGCTGGACATTTAAACCCTTTGCTTTGAATCAAATCATTTAAATCAATTGTATCTCTAAAGTATTGATTTAAATGCTTTCAGGGATTATACTTGTAATGACTTGTTTAGATTAATTATCAAGCTTTATCCTGGTGTTACGACTTTGATTGGGAAACAGTGTCAACTAATCATTACATGTTAGGTAAACTTACAAAGACATACTATTGGAAACTAGTTCTAATTGTAACGAGAACAGCGTGCCCACAAGATGTATTTTACCCAAACGCTCCCCAAGTTCCTTTTTGTGCAATTTCCTTTAAAACTCTTTTAATATGCTCAGTTATGACGGATTTTATAAAAGAATTTTTAAAGCTACAATGATATCAACTTCTTGTCATTTTCTGCCTTATAATAAAGGGGGGATATAAAATCAATTGTTCTTTTATTTGCTTTTATCATTTTTTAAAAATTATATTTAATAAATATGCATACATGAACATGTTAAAATATTCATTTTGACCTTACACCCTGACCTCAAAGCTCCCCACTGGGGCCTAGTACATGCTAACTACACCAGTCCTAGCCACAGGCACCTGACGTTACTTATTTTTCTTTTAATAAAAAAATATACCCTTACCTTATAATAAACCAAGGTCCCCAACGCCGCCATCTTGAATTTTTCTAGGTCTGCCACATCCACTTGTATTTTCGTCTAAAACTCCGTCAAATAAATTGTTCAAAATTTCAAAGGATTTCTGTGACCAGTCTTTCTTTGTCTAAACTTACGGACACTGCAGCGCGTAAGGCGCACCACACTTGCAAATATTGATACTACTTAATATCGATCTACTGCTTCAACAATTCCATCAAGAAATAGAAAAGTTAAGGCTTCATCCATTACGATTGGTAATTTCACATGAAGCACGCGCCTCTTGCTGGCGCCAGTCTTATGTACGTGCTTTAAGTAAAAATATATCATGCGAAAGTTAACTACTTTGATTAAAAACAGAATTTCAACAATAATACAACGTAATATACATGTAAGGATATTGAGACTTTAGTTTCCAGCCAATAAGAGCGAAGCGCACGATTATATTTATCGGCCTGAGATCATGCTATAAAGACCAATGAACATCTTTTTTATACTACTAATATATGCTTACATTATGAGTTTCAAAATATTTCATTACATGCAAAGTAAATATACATTAATAACACAGTCATTTTGATGCACTGCCCGCTCTTGCTATCCGTGCGCGCGAAGATGACTTTGTTTATTTAAAGTATGTACGCAACGTGTGTGTGTGTGTGGGGGGGGGGGGGTCCACACTAAAATTATTCCGGGGAGTGTTGAGATCTGCAATTCTATGTTTTGCAATAAAGTAGTGGCATGGC